GTGCGAATGTAATTTCAAAGACATTCGACATCCCATTTTTTTAAATGTGTCAAGCAACTTTTGAATGCCAGCTTCATACATGAAAGACTTATGGTTGCCTACAAAGTTTTCAAAAACCCATGTGAAAGCCTGCCAAGCTTCTTTCTCTTGAACGTTGAGAGAAACTTTGGAGTTTGTGTCTTGAAAAACTTCACAAATTTGGGGTCCAACAAATATTCCTTCCTTCAATTTTGCTTTTTTGAAATTTCTCTGGAGAGGTGGCAAGAAAATATTTTGCGGATCAACCAAAGGAATGTTTTGGACACTGTTCCTTCCCGGCTCATATTTACTTCTTTGATGAACTGGTCTGATGGCCGAATCCAAATTTGGATAAATGATTTTATGTTTATTTTTTGTTGAAAAACCAGTTGTATTATCGCTGCAAAAGTAACAATCACTATGATAATCCTTTTACTCTCTCCATATCATGGGTATTGCAAATGAAAGTGAAGTCTTCTGTCTGTGAAGCCAATCACGTAAACCGCTAGAACATGCAGTGCAAATAAAGTGCAGAGCCCATGCTTTATCCTGATCACCCAGTGGGCACCGGAAGTACAATTTGTAGATTTTCACGAGATCTTTGGTAATGTTACGTTGTTGTCCTGGAGCTGTAAATAAGCCGCATACATAGCAAAATGTGTCGGGGTGAGTTTTTCATTTTCTAGGCTTGCTGATAAGTAAATTTACATTGAACAAAATCAAATCTAAAATGAGAAGGAATATTGTTTCAGTTGTATCAAGTCCACCTAAAATCATGTCTGATGAAATATGATTGTTGACCAGTGCAATTAGTGGCAGTGCAAATTTCTAGGAACATTTATGTTAGAAAACATGACATATACATATGCCTTGAATCAGACACTATTGTTAAAACATTCTACATCCCAGTGCTAATGTTAGTAGAAAAATGCTTGTCTATAATTGACTGTCAATGCAACCATAAACAATAAATATCTTACAGTTAGTAACATCTATTATGTACACTCAGCAGCCAATCCCTGGTCCTTAAAGGGACACTATAGTCAACTGAACAACTTCCGCTTAATGGGGTTGTTCAAGTTAGTACAATAGCTCTCTGCAGGCTTTTTCATGAAAACACTGTATTTTCAAAGAAAATACAGTGTTTATGTGACGGTAGTATACGGTATAACCGTCAAGCATTCCCTTCTTCCCCATAAAAGAAAATCACCCAATACTCCACAAGAAGAAATATCCCTGGTATCGCTGAATAATCCACACATGAGCCAAAGCTTAATGCTGGAACAAGACTGATTTACTGAAAGCAACAGGCATTCAATTTAAACAGTAACAAACTCCTCCTCTGTGTCAGGCTAGATAATTGAGTTTCAGCAATACACAAAGCTCAATTATCTGCTGGCCAGAAACATTATAATTTTTAACAATATCAGAAAAGTACTTTTTATAATACATACAACGATAGCAAAAGCCGGTCTCTGTTCGCATCTAACTACACGAAAACCACCGTTCGCATGGTGCAGCTGGTTACATGCAAATGTTCCCCTCGTTCGGTAGATTCTATCTACCGAATGCCAGTTTGATTCGTGGAGGGGAACATATTCATCCAGGACTTCCATGAAGACCGGGCGTTTGCATGTTTGCCTTGCCGAAAATAGTTCCAGGCCATTCATGCGTACGCCCCGCTGACCGCACTCGTGAGTTTTAAGATGGCCGCCATCCTTTGTTCTCGCCACGTGTTCGTATGCCGAATGGCGGCCACCTAGGAGCAATTAAGTTGTGGTTTTCTTCCCGTTCTAATGCTGATTGCTACCCAGGGTAGGTGGTCTCTCGTTCGGTAGACGAATACAATTATTCAATACATACTTAAACAACCTATTACAAGTATTTGAACAGCAGGGAGAAGGTACAACTGAAGGCATACACGTAAGTACATCTCCATGCTCCGACAACCTCGGTTGGACCTTTCCTGGTCCAGTAGAGTTGACGGGAACTTAAAAGTTTTAGTCTGAGGCCAGGTCAGTTTGGCGTGACAGTCCATCGGCATTCCCGTTTTGCTTGCCTGGACTAAAATGGATGGTAAAATCATAGTGTTGTAAGGCAATGCTCCAGTGCAGCAAACAGGCGTTATCCCCTGATACCCGGTTGAGCCAGACCAGAGGATTGTGATCGGTAATAAGGGTGAAGGCCCGGCCATAGAGGTAGGGGGTGAGTTTTTTGAGAGCCCAGACCAATGCCAGACACTCTTTTTCAATAGTTGCATAACTGACTTCCCTTGGCAACAGCTTCCGACTAAGGTAGGCCACCGGGTGTTCTCCTCCATCCTCTCCGATCTGGCTTAATACTGCCCCCAGTCCAAACATTGAAGCGTCTGTGTGGACAATAAATCTTTTGTTAGGATCTGGGGTAACTAACACCGGAGCCTTAACTAGAACATTCTTAAATGCTTGGAAAGTCACCTCACATTCCGGGGACCACAGGACTTGTCGGGGTAACTTCTTCTTGGTCAAGTCAGTCAGGGATTTGGCCAGGGCGCTATAGTCTGGTACAAAGCGTCTGTAGTAGCCGGCTGTTCCCAAGAAAGCTATGACTTGTGTCTTGGTGTGGGGAGTGGGCCAATTGGCAACGGCCTCGATCTTAGCCGGCTCCGGCCGTTGTTTACCACACCCTACTCGGTGGCCCAAATATTGTACCTCCGCCATACCCAAATGGCACTTATCTGGTTTCAAGGTTAACCCGGCCCCCCTGATCCTATCTAATACTATCCCTACGTGTTCCAGGTGTGCCTCCCAGGTATCACTATAGATAACGATATCATCTAGGTAGGCGCACTCGTAGTCCTGGAGACCTCCCAACAAATGGTCCACCATCCGTTGGAAGGTGGCCGGGGCGTTCTTCATCCCGAATGGCATAACCCGGAATTGGCATAGGCCGAACGGGGTGATGAAGGCTGACTTGGGTATGGCATCTTCTGCCAGGGAGATCTGCCAATATCCCTTACATAGGTCAATTGTGGTCAGATACCTGCAGAGATGCGGTCAAGCAGTTCGTCCATCTGGGGCATCGGATAGGCGTCGGTGACTGTCTTGTCATTGAGCTGCCGGTAATCTACACAGAAGCAGGTTGTCCCGTCCTTCTTTGGTACTAAGACCACCGGCGAGGCCCAAGGACTGTCGGAATGTTCTATTACCCCTAGCCGAAGCATTTTGTCAATTTCCTTCCGCATCCCTTCTCGGACTGCTTCCGGAATACGGTAGGGGAGCTGCCTCAGGGGCGCTTGTCCTGGAGCTTCTACTTTGTGGACTGCTAGGGGTGTGTACCCGGGCTCCTGGGAGAACGTGGCCTGTTTGGTTTCTAGCAAGCGGATAGCTTGTGCCCTCTCTTGGGGTTCCAGCTGTTCGCCTAGCTGTACTTTTTCTATCTGCTTCGTCCCTTCATTATTGCCCAATAAGTCGGGAAGAGCCAGAGCCTCCGTGTCTTCACCTGCTGGCACACAGATAGCGGTCACCTCCTCAGCCCTCTTATGGTATGCTTTAAGCATGCTGATGTGAAAGGTTCGTTTTACATCTTCATCCTCACAGCTGGCTATGGTGTAGGTAGTATCACATATCTGCCCTATAACCTTACAGGGACCTTGCCAGGTGGCCTGGAGCTTGTCAGTTCGGACTGGTCTTAGCACCATGACCTTTTGCCCGATCTGAAAGCTCCGGTACCTAGCCCATCGGTCGTACCACACTTTCTGGCGCTGCTGGGCGTCCTGCAGGTTTTCCGGCACGGTCTGGGCTAATTCCTCCATGCGGTCCCGCAGTTCCAGCACGTAAGGCACAACCGGGGTCCCCTGTATCTCAGTCTGCCCCTCCCAGTGGTCCTTGATTAGATCTAAGGGTCCCCTCACCCGTCTCCCATAGAGTAGTTCGAAGGGTGAGAACCCAGTTGATTCCTGCGGCACTTCTCGGTATGCAAAGAGAAGGTGTGGCAGGAATCGCTCCCAATCCTTATAAGCTCCCGTGAATGACTTCAACATTTGCTTTAGTGTCCCGTTGAAGCGTTCGCACAGGCCATTAGTCTGGGGGTGGTATGGGGAACTAGTCAGGGATTTAACTCCGCAGACTTTCCATATCTGCTGGGTCACCTCGGCCGTGAACTGTGTACCTTGGTCGGACAGAACTTCCTTGGGAAAGCCCACTTGGGAGAATATCTTGACCAGGGCATCAGCCACGGTCTCGGCCTGGATATTAGAAAGGGCCACAGCTTCGGGGGAACGGGTAGCGTAATCTATCACAGTGAGAATATAGTGTTTACCGGAGCGGCTAGTCTCGGCCAGGGGTCCTATGATGTCTACGGCTACCCTCATGAACGGTTCCTCTATTATTGGCATAGAAACCAGTTTAGCTTTTGGGTGGTCTCCTTTTTTACCTATTCTTTGACACACCTCGCATATCTGGCAATACGCCCGGACGTCGTCGGATACCCCAGGCCAGAAGAAGTTCTGGGTTACCCGATATAACGTCCTGCGTATCCCCTGGTGTCCCGCTAATGAAACATCGTGCCCAATCCTTAATAACTCCTGCCGGTATTTCCGTGGAACTACCAGCTGGCGTTTTTGCAGGGGTCCGGGTGCGTTGACCCGTGTCTCGGTGAGCCTGTATAAACGGCCCTTTTCCCAGATAAACTGCTCCTTCTCTAACACCCCCCCCCCCCATCCTTTCCTCGCTTTCTCTCTGTACTTTCTGAGGGAAGGGTCTCCGGCTACTTCCCTCCCAAAGTCCTCTGGGGTATCCCAGGGAAGAGGTGCTGCAGTCAGGGGTAGGTCGGGTTGGCTTACCTCGGTCTCTGTAGGATGCGGATGGCTCTCGGCAGCGCGACTTTGTGCTCTGGTGGTTACTGCATGGGCCTCCTGAAGTGTTGTTGAGGCAAACGCCGAAGTTAGAGGACCAATATCATTGCCCAACATGACTTCGGAAGGTAACTCTTTCGTCACGCCCACTTGAACGTTGCCAGCTCCCGCACCCCAGTCCAGATGCACTTGTGCGGTAGGAATGCGATACACTGCCCCCCCTGCCACTCTCACAGCAATAGATTTCCCCGGCTTTTCCAACGCGTTGATGCGATGTCGTTGCACTAGGGTGATGGTAGCGCCACTGTCTCTTAGCCCCCGTGCTGTCTTTCCGTTGACCATTACCAGCTGACAATGGTGTTTCCTATTGTCTGTCATGGTGGATTGGACCAGGAGTGCTTCATAAAGGGTGCCCAAAGGTTCTTCCTGACTCAGCTCCTTGGGGTCCCAGGCAGATGGTACTGTATAGTCCACACAATGGGCTGCTGCCGGGGTTTGATGAAAACCAGGTCGAGTCCAATTAGACCTGGCGGCGGCCATGGGGCAATTGTGCTTGATGTGACCCAGTTGTTTGCAATGGAAGCAATGTAGTTCGTTGTCAGCCTGTCGTGGGTAGCGAGGGTTAGAAGCTACCGGTCAGCTGGGAGGTTGGTACCTGGTCACTGGTGGGTTTGTCGGTACCGTTGGTCACGGAGGTTGAACCCGTGGTGCGACCCGTGTGGTCTTGCGAGTATCCGCATACTCATCTGCTAACTTGGCGGCCTCTGGTAGAGACAGGGGTCTGCGGTCTCTCACCCAGTCTTTAACATCTGCCTGGATATGGTCGTAGAACTGTTCCAGGAGTATTAGTTGTAAAATATCATCCGAGTTGGTGGCTTGGCTACTGTTGACCCAGTTAGATTCCGACAGGTATAACTGGCAGGCCCATTCTGCTTAGGAATCCTTGTCCGTTTTACGTGAGTCTCTGAACTTTTGTCTGTATGATTCCGGGGTTACCGCATAACGAGCCAGGAGCGCTTCTTTAACCCTGGCGTAGCTATGGATCTCCTGTTCTGGGACGGCCTGGAAAGCATCAGCGGCTTTGCCTGACAACTTTGCTGCCAATATCGAAACCCATTCGTCCGCAGCTACTCGGTGCAGGTTACACTGTCGCTCACAATCTGCTAAATAATTGTCAATCTCGCAGTCCTTCTCATTGAAATCTTTAAAAGCGCTGAAAGGAATTTTCCTTGTGTTTGCTGTGCTGTACTCACTGCTTGGGGAGTTTGCTGCTGCCCACTGGACCTCCGCCAGTTTCAGTCGCAGCTCTCTTTCTCTCTTTTGTTTAGCCTCTTCTGCTATAATGTTCATTACTTTTAGAACAATGTCAGCCGTTGGGTTCAGACCGAACCATGCTAGTCTCTCCCGCATCTCCTTGTTGGTTGGTGATTCATCCTCCCGAATCACCAGTGTCTCCATCTCCTGAACGGTCGGCATTGCTGCAACCAAGTTCTCTCGGTCTAGCTCCATTAACTCAGCAATAATGACCCGCTTGGTTTTGTTGCTAGCAATCCTTCCACGAACTTCCAGTAGTTCTTTTAGCGTGTTTCTTTTAAGCAGGGTGTACCAGCCTTCCATTCACTGTCCCCAGTATCTGCTTGGAATCTTGGTGCAAGGGAAAACAGAAGGGAAAATCCCGCCGCTGCCAACCAGTTGTGACGGTAGTATACGGTATCACCGTCAAGAATTCCCTTCTTCCCCATAAAAGAAAATCACCCAATACTCCACAAGAAGAAATATCCCTGGTGTCGCCGAATAATCCACACATGAGCCAAAGCTTAATGCTGGAACAAGACTGATTTACTGAAAGCAACAGGCATTCAATTTAAACAGTAACAAACTCCTCCTCTGGGCCAGGCTAGATAATTGAGTTTCAGCAATACACAAAGCTCAATTATCTGCTGGCCAGAAACATTCTAATTTTTAACAATTTCAGAAATGTACTTTTTATAATACATACAACTATAATTTAACATCCCTGGGTAGCTGAGGATACTGGTAGTCACATATCCAAATCTCACGAATTTCCGTTCGTTAGTTTCCATGTCGCATCGTGTAGAAGTTTGACCGGCTCGCCATGTGGGGGTATCTGAGTTAGAGTTCCATAAAATCAGTAGCAAGAGCCGGTCTCTGTTCGCATCTAACTACACGAAAACCACCGTTCGAATGGTGCAGCTGGTTACATGCAAATGTTCCCCTCGTTCGGTAGATTCTATCTACCGAATGCCAGTTTGATTCGTGGAGGGGAACGTATTCATCCAGGACTTCCATGAAGACCGGGCGTTCGCATGTTTGCCTTGTCGAAAATAGTTCCAGGCCATTCATGCGTACGCCCCGCTGACCGCATTCGTGAGTTTTAAGATGGCCTAGGAGCAATTAAGTTGCGTTTTTCTCCCCTAATGCTGATTGCTACCCATGGTAGGTGGTCACTCGTTCGGTAGACAAATACAATTATTCAATACATACTTAAACAACCTATTACAAGTATTTGAACAGCAGGAAGAAGGTACAACTGAAGGCATACACGTAAGTACATGAAATCTTTCACAGTTTACATGTGACAGACCACCTGGCACCCCGACTGGGTACCTCCACCAATCGATGATTCCCAGCTGATGCTGAGGACCATAAGCACAGCACCGGACACCATAAGCACCGTAGACCCCATGAACCGCTGCAGCTTGGTTGGGGTGTCGCCGTCCCTTCCCACCCTGGATCTGACACCTGGATCCAGGGACTCAATGGGAAGGCTTTTAGCTCTTATAAAAGCTAGTGATATAGCTGTATAGCGGTTCCCTACAATCACGAAACGAGGCTATGTGTTGAAGGTTAAGCAGGAATGAATTTTAATGGTGCTACACTGGCCTTTTATGACAATCCCCATGCAAGGGGTATGCCCAAATGGACCTTGTTGGGGACTCCAACACAAAGACACAGACCAATAAGAACAGTGATTAAATGCACGACACTCCCATAACAAACATACAATCCCTCCTATCTGCGTGGGAGATAATTGAGTGAGTCAGACACTGTATCAATTCAATTATCTCCAGGCAGAAAAAAAGCCATATTTCTCAAAAGTCCCAAAAGTACCAAAACATATAATATCCCCACAAATGTTACATCCACTGATAGAAATGATCTGGGTGACAAACATATCCAAAAATCACCCAGATTAGTTCAGGGGTTCAGAAATGCTATGGAAGTCATTTATTTGACACACAACAGGCATGGTCCCATGCCAAAAACATTTCCAGAGAATCAGGGCTTGCGGTTGGTCTAGTTCGGTAGCTTGAAAACGAACAAACTACTGAACAGAGTCAATAGTCTTACCCTAGAGCTTGTTCCCTTCATCCAGACTAATGATCTCACCGAACAGTGCCCTTCTAAGTTGAATAAAATATGTTACAAACTGCCTTTTGTAACTGGTATTCTATGTGACAAATTGCCCTGCTTCCCTGGATTATGGAAAAGCCTAATTGCCAGCCTCCTCCCTCATGACATAGCCCTTTAAAAACCATCTGTGGGCATATTGATACTTTTCGTGACAATGCCCCTTTAAGACTATATCCCCAGACTGTTAAAATTCTGTGTTCATGGCTTTTTCCCACTTGGTTCAGTAAATGGGGCTTACTGAACCAAGTACTGCACAGGCGGACCACACAGAAGTGGAGGTGTGCAGCTAATTTACCTCCCAGGCTGGCGGTTAACCGCTGGTTAATTGCCGACCGCTGGGTGGCCTCCGTTCGTGCCGCTGACCCTTACCTGACACCGCTGACCCTTACCTTCTCCTCCACTTCGACTAAAAACGATGATTCAAACGCACAGTTAGACTAAGCTATTTGCACGAACGGTGCCCCGTTCGTGCATTCGAATGGGACTTAGTCATTTTTCTGAGTGAAAAAGGGCTTCCAGCTAACTTTTATGGAGATTGTATGTATATTTTGTGAGTTATGAGTATTGTATAAAAACTGTATTTTTCCTGCCTGTGATAATTACATTAACCCATTGTGTACAGTAATTATATCACAGGCAGAGGGGAGGATTTTGCTGGAATGAATGGGAGTGTTTTACTGTATTGTACATGTTTGATTGGCTGTTCTACAAACCCATGTGGGTGGTACTTTGTGTGTAAAACTTGCATAAAAGAAAGCCCTTTGGTGCTGATTAAAAGAGAACTACTTGACCCTCTAACTCGCAGCCTCGAATTGTGTTTGTAGGAGACAGTAGGAGACAGCTATAATCACTACAGGGATTGCTATGCTCTGCATACTCCCTTAGCTACTGAGTTCTTGTAAGAGCTCTTGTTCCTGATCCTGCTTCGCTCTACAGAAGGAAGAGGTTCACCTACTGGAACCTGGAGCCTGGTCATAGGTCCATGGTGGATAGCAGACGGCGAGATCCCAGCCCAGCAGCAGCGGTTCATGGAGTCTGCAGTGCTTATGGTGTCTACGGTGCTGATGGTCCTTTGGTCAGCGCTGGGAGCATCCTTTCTACTAAATCCTTGGCATACTAAATCAACGCGCTACCTGCAAAGATGCTCCCTGAACGCTCCTGGAGGAAGTCTCGCACCCAGTCAGACTTTCTCCATTATAGATTTATATTGTGTTCATACAGTGCAGCCCTTGCCCTTGCCAAACAGTCCTATTTTTCCTCTCTCATTAGTTCATGTTCCCGCAACCCCAGGCGTCTCTTTGACACCTTTAATTCTCTTCTTCGCCCCGCTGTGGCCACCCCCCAAACCAACCTTACTGCTGATAACTTTGCATGTTACTTCACTGACAAAATTGAACAGCTAAGGAAAGAATTCTCCCCTCCTTGCCTTTCTGTTTCTCAATCACACATAGATCATGCCTTTCCTACCCTTCAGACATTCTCCCCAGCCACTGACCAAGAGGTGGCTGCTCTTCTTTGCTCCTCTCGCCCCACCACTTGCCCGCTCGATCCTGTCCAATCTCACCTTATCAGATCTCTCTCCACTTGTCTCATGCCTTCTCTAACACACATCTTCAACTGCTCGCTCTCTTCTGGCATCGTCCCTGCTGACCTTAAACATGCCACTGTAGTACCTATACTAAAAAAAACATCCCTCGACCCGTCCACCCCCTCTAACTACCGTCCCATATCCCTGCTCCCTTTTTCCTCAAAGCTTCTGGAAAGACTTGTCTTTACCCATGTGTCTCATTTCCTCAATTCCAACTCTCTCCTTGACCCCCTTCAATCTGGCTTCCGCCCTCTCCACTCTACAGAGACTGCCCTTATCAAAGTTACTAACGACCTAATCGCAGCTAAATCCAAAGGCCACTACTCCATACTAAT